GCGTACTCGCCTATGTTTCACAACATTTTTGAGAAATCCAGAGTTTTTACGACGCTGGCGGACTGAAATATTTCGTCCCCACCACGAGGAAACCGAAAAGACGCGCATCGGCTTAGGTGTCTCAGGGCATCAACGGATGTCACTGCAGTGTCTCTGACTGGGATGTCCTAAGGTAGTCCCGACGGTGTGGGAGGATTTTCGACACTCCCTGGATACCTAGGTCGTATGCACTCCCTATCTGGAGGACAATTCTCCCGGTTGCTAGGATCGGTAGTTTTCTGTAGTTTCGCCGATCAACACCAGGCGAATGCCAGAGCATTACCCTCACAAAAGGGCCATGGACCGCGCGCGATCTTTCCCACCTCTTTATTGTCCTTTCCTTGCTTGCATACACTCACATGTACTAACACTACCACACATGTCCGCTGACTAGTCGGGAGCTTAGAGCGTTGCGAGGAGAAATAACGCAAGTTGACATATAGGCCGGTGCTGGATCTTACCAGCCAGCTGGGGAAAATTGCCGCCTCCTTCCGTGATAAACGTGCACTACAATAAAGGACTAATGACCTTGGGAGTTGACGAGCCTGGAAACAATAATAGATCAACCTACAGCCATTCCCCTTCTTCCATAAGGAATACAAAGTCAAAGTTTTGCAAAGTGTATTTAATTATAAAAATAGAACCTCAAAACGTACAGATAAGCTGAGATCGTGGCTATCTTTGAAATGTCTGCCAGACTGCAAAGAAATAATCGTGGAGCACGTGACGCCCCTTTAGTGGCACTTCCCCGTCGGATGCGCTTGTTCCACAACCAAAAACAAAAAATACTATTTCTTAAAAATACCCCTATACAGTATTTGAGTAACTCCGAGTTTGCGTATGTGCGCATCTAATCGTCACTCACGGTTAGATCACATCCCGTACACCAATCGGGACATAGGAGTGTCATTCGACGTATCTCGGTCACCTGATGGGGAACTGATAATTGTTTTTTGATCCGGCCATAAGGTTCAAAGAAATTTACAAAAACGTGTTTTTTCGTGTTTTGGCTCTACGACTATAGTGAGTATGCCGGGAATTAAACCAACGCTTTCTAAATAGATCTGTGTCGGTGGTGCTGATTAAACTCCAGTACCCAGAGGCAATTTTCACTCTATACGTCATAATTTTTTTCACGACGTTGACAACACTGATGTTGTCATCTTTAAGTGAGCAATTGAATTACCAAGTGAATCGCGCTGTTAATTTCATTTTAATTTTCATTCGTATCGTATTTTTAAAAATAAATTTACGACAACCTACGAACAGTATTGTCTTGGACCTTATTAAATTTTAAACTTTTCAAGTGAATACGGAGAAAACAAAACTGTGAGTAATGCTATACAATGAATGAACGTTCTCACTATTACGATCTTAAGTCTGCAAATACCAATTTTCAAAGGAATGTGACCCACAACTTATTCTTATTAAACTTAACACTTTATTCACATAAACATACAAAACAGTCGCCTTTTAATGTTTATATAGATTCGCATTCCAAACGATTAATAGATTAGTTTGCAGAAGTAGAAGTGGTCACAAATTAGACCGAGTTTGTAGAGTTTTAATCTCTTCAAAAATTAGGAGAGAAAAATTTTAAAAAGGTAAGCAATCCAGGGAAGAATCAAATGTAGTTGTTGAAGATATTGTGACAGAATTTTTGGAAATAATTGGGAATAATCTGTATTTTAGAATTTAGCATTTGTGCTAATTCAAATGTGCTATGTGCATTTTTGCACATATTAGCAAAAGAGCCTAAAAATGTTGCTGTACTAAAATCTAACTCTTCGCATCATCAATACCTGCAAGTATTTGTTTTGGCGATTATAATTTTGAAATCGCAATATTACCAGTTCATATCCCGTATGGAGGTAACATACAAGGCCACTGGGAACTTTTCATCGGGAGTTTAACATTATCAGCTAGTACGATTCATTGGTGAGTCAAATGCCAGATACTGAAAGAACAGATTTGAACGAGCTAGGCAAGGATGAAATGAAGTATGAAAGAAATTTTCAACACATGAAACTATTTTTAAAACTGCTTACAGCGTCGGACACGCCACATTTTACTAGTTGTTATGTAACATAAGGCAATATGCTTATTCTGAACTCGTGGCTTCACGCTCGTAATCACAGGCTATAGAAATGAAAAGGGATGCATATATATATAATATATATATATATATATATATATATATAAATATATATCGTGAATTCGTCATTCCGGAGGAGTAACGATTTCTAAATAAGGCAGCAGACGGTGAAGATGCTTTCACCTGAGAGCGCGGATGTGCCTCTGGGCTGGCGCAGTGATGACGGCCTCCGCCGCTCAGCACCGACGCGATGCTCCTTCTGCTGGCGCCAGCCGCGCCTCGAACAGAAGCCAGCTGCGCCGCCAGCCCGCTCAGCTGCTTCCGTTGCCTCGCGCGCCAGCCGCCGCACAGCTCCTCCTGCAACGACGCACCCGGTCAGGGTGGGGGTGGGGGGAGGGCAGCACTCGACGTTTGCGCGCGCGCGACGACTGCTATAGTCGGTTATCTTGCGTACCTCTGCAGATATTAAGCGCGGGATCACTCAAAACGAATTTATGCGATGAGCATATGAATACATAACAGGAATTATTTTATGGGCTTTGTTTATTGCAGAGACTCCCATTTGCAACTTCGATTTTTGCAAATGCATCCCTTTTTCATTTCTATAGCCTGTGATTAACGAGCGTGAAGCCACGAGCTTCAGAATAAGCATATTGCCTTATGTACATAACAACTAGTAAAATGTGGCATCCCCGCGTACACTCACACACCCAGACACCACACATGCTTGGAGACCCGCAGGAGTTTAGAACTCTGCCCGTGTCTCAGTGTGAAGAACATGTGTCCGGACGCTGTAAGCAGGTTTAAATAGAGAGGAATATACTATATAAAGCGCAACAGATAGGAGGCCACCGGATTATAACAGCGACGATTACCGCCTACCCCTCCTGTGATTAAAAGCAGGCGCCTTGAAAATTTTTCTTTCATACTTCATTTCATCCTTGCCTAGGCTCGTTCAAATCTGTTCTTTCAGTAGTTCACTACGTGCATCCCGAGCATCAGCGCATATGAATATGACTTTTAGCATTATGTAGCGCTCGCTTCCGGATAATCATTCTGTGAAACTCCCCAATGCACAAAGGCCACCAAATTAGACTCATATCGTCATGTTACCTCATACGAGTATTGATCCATGTGTTAATATTGCGCATTTACAATATAATCCCTATAAATACAGCCTCTAACCAAAACACATATTTACTTCGAGTAAAAGATGAATATATATATCTATCCAACTGCCACCGTAGTGTCCTAGAATACTCTACGGCTTCACACCGCCAATGCCACATTAGTCCTATCGGATCCCCTCTGTCGCTGGATATTACTGTGCAGAAAACTCGCAACTACAAGGGCCAGCCCTAGTCAGCAATTTGGAATTGAGAGCACAGAATGAGCGTCTAAAGACTTCTAAAAATACAGACTTAGTCGACCCACGAGTGTATTACCGAGACAGACATTGTACGCTTGGCGGCCGGCCGCCAGGCCGTCGCACTAAGTATCTTCAACAACTACATTTGCATTTCTTCCCGGGATTGCTTACCTTTTTAAAATTTTTTCTCTTGCCTAAGACTTTGAGAGAGATTTAATGAGAAAGCGAAAATCTACCAGAACTCGCGGATCATTAAACTCTGTGGTTGCGCGGCCTCGTTATCGCAGTGCGCCCCGCTCCCCGCCCCGCCCCCGCCCTGGCATCCTGTCGACCATCATACCTCTTCCCTGAGTTCTCTGCAAGGACTTAGGATCTCGATCCAACTGCTCCTGCATCTGTCGCGGCGAAGAGCTCTATGCGACACCGCTACATCTGCATTAAAAAGCGCCACTGTTTTGCTATGTTATGTGGATAAATCGACAAGCTTTATATTGGATTTCATAAGAACTATAGGTTCGACTTGAGTATTTTAGAAACTGCCCCACTCCTCCTGGATACTAGGAGGTTATATGTATGAGTCCAGTTGCAGGAATCTATACATGAGTACGTGAGAGATAGATTTGTCTCGAGGAACAGTTGATCATCATCAACTTGTTTATTACGCGCCAGGTTTTATCTTCACCCAGTCATGCGTTTTTTCTCCGTATGTACACCTTAGAAAATTATATGAACAATTTTTAATATATGATGGCTGCCTCCCGAAAACCACAACAGACTACTTCATCCAAACGTGCTCTATCTGGAGTTAGTCGTACAAGAATTGCTTATTTTTAAAAAGACTTCTATACAGCATAGCGAATGATATATACAATATTCGACATTGAATACTTAGAAATTGTTATACAGCGCGAGATTCAACATTGTGTCGCTGGTATATCCAGCGCGCTTCAAACTGGTTAAAGGTCAATATTGCTCACTTAAAGATGACAACATCAGGTACTCGTATATGGTGTTCAAGCTGTGCCATAGGTATCCTTGAATCTCTCTTAACTGCATAGTACCGTGACAAGAATCTAATGATTATCGACGCAGCGACCGTACAAATGCGTGTTAATATATCCTCTAACACAAAGATCTCATACCCCGCAGTGCGCCTGGTACTCTGCGTGTGACTGGAGTTTAATCCGCGACCACTGCACTACGCAAGCATGATCTATGTTTGTAAGCACAAATGGACGGATTTTGAGTTATAAATTGCCACGCAAGGATAAGACGTCAAAACAATAAGACATAGCTACGCGTGTAGAAATCACACTAACACGATTCGCGAGAAAACACGTTTTGTAAATTATCTTACTTCCCTGTGAACCTCTATTATGTGCCTCCGGGTATACTCAACTATATGAGAAAAAATACTAACTCGCAAAATTCACTCCCATCAGGTGACCCGGATATCTATAGAACATTCGCCGGACACGCACTGACACTCCTAACCGATTATATAGCGACTCTCCTCCATGCCCAGCGCGGCGTACGGATGTACTCTAACGTGAGTGACTGATTAGTATGGCGCACCGAGTTATCGGCAAAATCTTCGAAGTGACTATCACCTAAAAACTGTAGCTTATTAGCGGGTAATGTTTTAAAAATGTCCAGAAAT